GAGCGTGATCGATCCGTTCGTGACGCCGTGGTAGCTCATGAGGCCCGTGTTCGCGACGGAGAACGGCAGGTTCGCGAGCGCCGCGGCGCAGACGGGCAGGCCGAGGCCGCCCTTGTTCTGCTCCAGCGTCATGCCGATGAAGCCGCCCTCGGCGTACTGCCGCTGCGCGTCGACGACGGCCGCGGGGTGGACGACCACGTCCGCGTCCGCGTCGTAGGTCGGCGCCTCGCGGTCGCCGACGGGGTTCGCGTCGTAGAAGACCTCCTCGGCGAGCGTCGACCCGGCCTCGACGATGGATTCGATGGTCTCCACGTCGTGGTCCCGGAAGCGCTCCGTCGCCAGCAGCGCTTGCAGGTCGATGAACTCGTGGAGCAGGAACTGGAGCTCGCGGCCGTGCAGGAGTTTCGACGACGTGAGGTGCGGCGTCGACGAGGCCGTTGCCGTAGCAGTGGAGAGCGCGCGCTTCGCGAGCGCGCGCAGAGCTTGGGACCGCATCATCATTCGATCACGATCCGTGGCGCCGAAGATCACGGGAGCGTGCAGTAGGCTTGCAGTCACGCCAAGTACCGCTACACCCTTACCCTCTCGTCGTACGCGCGCCGCAGCCGCCCGGCGAGTTCGCCGACGACGTCGGGCCGATCGGCGGCCTCGTTGGCGTTCTCGTAGTCGTCGAAGCAGGACGCGCCGTCGCACGCGCCGTGGCCGTAGAGCTCCCGCGCCAGCAGCCCGGACGGGGACCAGTCCGGCTCGAGGGCCGCGCCGAGCCAGCGCCGCCACTCCGTGTAGCGCCAGGCGTCCACCCGGAGCGACGCGCCCATGGCGAAGAAGCGCGACCGCTCGACGAACTCGCAGACGTTGTCCCGCCAGTAGTCGCTCGCGTTCGCCTCGTCGGACGGGCACCGCGGGTATTCCGCCAAGGCCTCGGCGCGGCCGCCCGCCGTCGCGTTCCAGGGACCGGCCTGGTCGAGGACGGCCGCGAAGGAGCGGCCGTCGACGGCTTCGTCGAGCGGCGCGCCCGCGAGCTCGGCCATCGTCGGAAAGACGTCGACGAGCTCGACGAGGGCCGACGACCGCTCGCCGTGCGTCGCCGGCCGCGTCGGATCCGCGACGATCAGCGGCACGCGGAGCCCCGCCTCCCACTCCGTGAACTTCTGCCACGCGCCGTGCTCGCCCAAACTCCAGCCGTGGTCGCCGTGGAGCACGACGAGGGTCGACGACGCGAGACCGGTGGCATCGAGGGCGTCGAGGACGCGCCCGAGCTGCGAGTCCATCCAGGCCGTCGCCGCGTAGTAGTGGCGCCGGAACGCCGAACCGTTCGCGCGCGGCAGCGGCGCGAAGGGATCCGCCTGGAATCCTCTGGTCGTCATGGACGAGAGCGCGATGGGCGCGACGGACGGATCGAGCGCGCCGTGCGCCGCGACGTCGCTCTGGTGCCCGAGGAAGGGCGACGGGTAGCGCCAGGGCGCGTGGGGCTTCCGGAGGCCGGCGGCGACGAAGAAGGGTCGTCGAGCCACGGCGAGCTCGAGCTTCTCGACGGCGTCGTCGGCGATGACCTTGTCGCAGAACGGTCCGCTCCCGTCGAGGGGCTCGCCGTCTTCCGTCGCGTCGACGGCGCAGGCGACGCGGGACCAGCCGCCGGCGCAGCTTCGCATCGGCGCGACGGCGTCGACGTCGGCCATGCTCGCGTTCCAGGACGGCGGGTCCTGGTTCGGCGGCAGGCCCGGGCCGACCCAGAACGGCGGCGTCGACCCGCCCTCCTCCGTGTGGAAGATCTTGCCCGTGCCTACGGTGGGACATCTCCCTCGAAGAA